CAGCACCAGCACCAGCACCAGCACCAGCACCAGCACCAGCACCAGCATCAGCATCAGCACCACAAAAATCTGAAGAAGTTTATTCTCACTGAATCTCTTTTTTAAAAGAAAGTTCTATTTAGGTGCTGGAGAGAGGGCTCAGCAGCTAAAAGTAGTTATTGCCCTTGCAGAGGACGAGGGTTTATTTTGTAGAACTAATGTTACAGTATCTCCAGTTCTAGAAGATTCCATGCCTATGCTTACTGCTTGCATGTGATATACATACATGCAGGTAGGCCAAATATTCCTACACACAAAATAAAGTTTCATTTTGTTTTTTAATTAAATGGAGAGTACATCAGATCCCTTGGCACTGGAGTTACAGGCAACTGTGAGCCACCTAATATGGATGTTGGTCCCTGAACTCAGGTCCTCTTCAAGAGTACCCAACTCTTTTAACCATGGATAATAAAACCATGCATTTTCCTTCACTGTGCTTCACATTGTATTTCAAATGACAAAAAGTGGTCTTTGTGTCCTTTGGTAAGTCAAAATCCCCTGACCCAAGTTTTCTCAATGTAGCTGTCATACCCTATGAACTCAGTCTATAAAAATCTACGCCCCTCGGGCGGTCCTCGCTTCTTCGCCGGGGGGGGGGGGGGCGGGCGCCCGGCCCGCCTCAGCCTCCGCTTCGCCTCCCGGCCCGGGCGTCGGTGTGCGGGCTGCGAAGCTCCCGCGACCCAGAAGCACTCGGGCGCGGGCGGAGCGGCGGGGCTGTGTAGCTAGCTGCGCCATGGCCGCGTCAGCGTGGTGCTGCCTGCGCTGCTGCAGGGACGGCGGGACTGGCCACATTCCTCTCAAGGAGATGCCGGCCGTCCAGTTGGGAACAGATGTTGTCATCGTGAAAAATGGAAGAAGAATCTGTAGCACCGGTGATTGTTTAGCCAGCGCACCCTTACATCGGAACAAAAGCTTCTTCGAGTTCAAAATCCAGTCTACTGCAATCTGGGGTATAGGTGTTGTAACTCAGAAAGTTAACTTGAACCAGATTCCTCTTGGCCGAGACATGCATAGCCTGGTGATGAGAAATGACGGAGCCCTGTACCACAACAACGAAGAGAAAAACAGGTTGCCGGCAAACAGCCTTCCTCAGGAGGGAGATGTGGTGGGTATAACATATGACCATGTAGAATTAAATGTATATTTGAATGGGAAAAACATGCATTGTCCAGCATCAGGTATCCGAGGGACAGTGTATCCAGTTGTATATGTTGATGACAGTGCAATTCTGGATTGCCAGTTCAGTAAATTTTATCATACTCCTCCACCTGGTTTTGAAAAAATACTATTTGAGCAGCAGATCTTCTGAATGAGTTTGTTTTCAACACTTAGACTTCTGCACCATCACACAAGCACTTACCACTTAATAAAGCTCCCCTTCACCTAGAAACAAAAACACATGCTGAACAGCGAGCTTCTTCTTGTTGTCTAAGAAACCCATGTATTCATTATACCATGCTGAGGTTTGATTTAAAAGATCTAGGCAATTTATTTAATCTTATTTAAACAAATAAACCATGGGTTTGATTAACAGTATTATGTCGTAACATGTATATAAATATTTAAAGGGAATTTTTTTCTTATATAAAGTATTTGTTTGACAAAAAAAATCTACAAAATTGAGAGCTTTATTACACATGTTGAACTCTTGAAGAAGACTCAAGCAAACATGGCTTTTGGTCTGAGGAACTGCTTCTGAACTTAAACTGGAAAGTTTGGCCGGGCAGTGGTGGCCCACACCTTTAATCCCAGCACTCAGGTAGCAGAGGCAGGCAGATCTCTGACTTTGAGGCCAGCCAGGGTTATACAGAGAAACCCTGTTTCAATAAGACAAGAACAAGGGCTGGAGAAATGGCCCAGTGGCCAAGAGTACTGGCTGCTGTTGAAGGGGTTCAATTCCCAGCACCTACATGGGAACTCACAACTGTCTGTAACTCCAGTTCCAGGGAATCCAACACCGTCATATGAACATACAGCCAGGCAAAATACCAATATATAAAAAAATAAATAAGGTAAAATAAAAAAAAACAAAAGCAAAACAAACAAAAAATCATGGGAACTTAGAGTTGATATTCTCCCTGTTTACAATAGCTTATATCCATCCGTTTTAATGTTTTTCCACAGAGACCCAAGACTTGGTGTTAGTATACATGTATGACACGGCTATTGCTGATTTTAGGCCTATGGCTGATTTTAGGCCTTCAGTGTATAAGCAGGGCTGCTCCTGACATCTCCTCCCTTCTCTAAGTATAGAAGGGCTGTGGCAATTCTAATCTTGCGAAGGCGGGGATAGAGGCCTGACCTCCAGTTCTTGAAGGGGACCTTGTAATGGCTCCAGTCCCCCTGTCGTTGTCCAGTGAGGCATGAGGGCCATACCCATCCTGATGTCTTTTTCCTGGAGAGGGGATACTTTTGACATCAACCCCTATGCAGTCAGGCTTGTCCCTCAGGGAACCCAGATAGATATTTTTATCTTTTATTTATATTCCCTTGCAGTGCTTAGCCTCGCAGCCTAAGCAAGAATTCAGATCTCCAGTCAGAGGGGGTGCTGGGTGGCCCCTCTCTGCTTGGTCTAGGGGCAGAAGTCCCTCCTTTAGGTTGGGTGGAGATGGGTTTTGGGAACACCCTGGATAGAGTAACAACCTCATCTTGAGTCTCGTGGTCCTCCATAGCTAACTTATGATAATGTATCTCAATAGGTTTTGCTATATAAAGTGACTCTTTTTCTTAAAGGTACTCAGGAACATTGCAAAGTTTTCTTTAATAACTCTTCAGTCTTCCCTCAGCTTCTATAGCACAAGAAGTTGAAACCACCATTTTGCTCAGAAATTATAATGAGGACATGGAACAATGACTGCTGGATCTGAATGACATAGCCATTTGTAGAGTAAATAGCCAAGGCAGAAACTAAGTTGTGTACATTTGATGTCAATTCATTGTACTCAATTCCAAGTGCTATTTAATGAAGAAATTTGAAAAGTCATCTCTCAATAGGAAAAAAGCCTATGGACACTGACTGTTCACACCTATAAGAACGGACAGATTTTAAGGGTCTTCTTTCACTACAATGCCTCTTGTGATGTGCTCACTAAATGGTTGTCTACACAGTACTTAAATACCTGCAGTGATGGTGAAATCAGCTCTGTTTTAATACAGGAATCTAAACCATAGGGCTTACAGCCATTAGTATTTCTTCTTCTTCCTCCTGCTCTTCTTCCTTCTCCTCCTCTTCCTCTTTAGATTTACTTAGTTTTATTTTATGTGTCTGGGCATGCTGGACTGTAGGCTGAAAGAGGTATGCTGCTGTTGGAAGGGGACACTAATCTGCATTTCAGACACATAGGAGCTAATACATATATCCCATTAGCTCCCCATGGACCACATGCAGCCCAGTACAGATCTGAATACGGCCCAACACAAGATTATAAACTTAAGTACTCTGTTTAGAGATTCTTTGCAATTTTTTGTTGTTTAGCTTGATGGTGCAGCTCCGCAGTGTAAGCAAGTAGATGACAAACTACTGTTGCAATGTCAGAAAGTTGGACACTTCTGCATAAGGTGATCAAACTTCATCCCAAAGCTTATAGGAAGTGGGTGGTTAACTTCAAGCACAAGAGCAGTGTGCTACATGTTTTGTTTTCTAACTTGTCTGCAAGAAGAGTAGGGAATAAGTTGGACAGAAGCACAAAGGCCAGTAAAGAAGATTCTACATGAGACTCTAACAGAAAACCTCTGAGAATCCAACATAAAAACTCTGAAAATCATAGCAGAGTTTTCTGACATCTAGTCCTGAGGCATCAAAGAACATAAGGACTTGACCAAGAGAGAGCTGCAGCCTCTGGGGGACAATGTTCTGTAACAAGAGGGATCCAAACCAACCTTAGCTCTTTACTCAACTGAATCCTACCTTTCCAAAGCTCACACTTGGACTAGGGCTGACCGATCAGACTCATCCATTCCTCCTATCTAGTGGGAAAACGTCCTAAGGGAAGTCTGAACACCTTTTCTTTAAAATTTTATTACATCGAGTTATGTATGTCATTTTCATGCAAGTCTTTAATGTGCCTTGAGCATTTTCCACTCCCATACTTGGCTATTCTACCTCCTTTCCCTGGCATCTCCTCTTCATTGTAGCTCTTTGCTCCCCTAGAGCAGTGGTTCTCAACCCTCCTAATGCTGTGACCCTTAATACAGCTCCTCATGTTGTGGAGACCACCAACCATACAATTTTTAACATTTCTACTTCATAGCTATATTTTTGCTACTGCTGTGATTATTAATGTAAATATCTGATATACAGGCTATCTGATATGTGACCCCCAATGGAGTTGAGACCCACAGGTTCAGAACTGCTGCCTTAGACATTTCATTTCTACTTTCGGAACATCTGTACATAGATGCTTTTGTGAAAATAAATCTTGGAACCCCAAATGAGAGAAAACATGGCATGTTTCTCTTTCTGAGACTGTCTAGATTCCCTTCATGTGATTGTCTCTAGTAATGGAATTTCTGAGGCTAAAATTATTTAGCAGAGCAAAAGAAATAATTAAGCAGTGAAGAGATAGCAACTAGAATGGGAAGCAATCTTCGCTAGCTACACATCTGACAGAGGATTCACACCTAGAATATACAAAGAACTCACAAAAACTGAATTAAAGACCTGTGGGAATTGACTCATGGTGGCTAACAATCATTTGTACCTTCTGTTCCAGGGGATCTGACACTCTCTTCTGAGCTTCATGGATAACAAGCACTCTAGGGCATATGTGCATGCAAAACACCCATCCACATAAAGTAAAAATTAAAATATCTTAAAAACCAAATGGCAAGAAATCAACCAATTCACCCAACAAATGGTTTAATGAAATGAGCGGACAATTCTTAAACAAGAAGTACAAATGGGCAATAAACGTATGAAACAGCTAAGAAAGCAGAATTTTCTTAGAGTTCACTCTAGAGGCAGTGGGACCTGGGAGAATGGAGTGGATAAATGAGGCAGTCTAAAGTCCCATGCATCACACAGTTTATCCTTGGAGAGTTAAGAGGAGTCACATGAGTAAAGCATCCAATCACAAGGGCAGCTGCCCTGCAGGTGGTGGGCAAGCCACATGTGGCAAAACCATGTTTTTTTCCATAGAGGCATATAAACAAATAACAATATCCAATAGTAATGAATAATCTGAAGTAAATTCACTTTTTTCTGCTACACCTGGGAGGGACACAAAAACATAATCTAAGAATAATTCTGTGTTTTTTTTTTTTTTAAAAAAAAAAAAAACTCCGAGAGCACAAGACTTGTTTTGGTTTCTTGGAGTTTTCTCATAAGCACTCAGAAATCTCTTCATAGAAGTCTATCATTGGACCATGTTCCGAGACTTAGCCAACACACACACACACACACACACACACACAAATATAGATGTTTAAGTTAAACATAATAATAATTAAAGGACTCATGAATTTTGGAGGAGGTGGAAGGACACAGAAGGAGTTGGAGGAGGGAGGGGACAGAAATGATCAAATATGGTACCCATGTATGACATTCTCAAAAAACATATTTTCTAGAAGTCTTGGGCTAGAGAGATATCAGAAAAATAAGGTGGACAGCAATAAAGGAAGACACTGGACATTGACTCAACCTCTGTCCTTTATACATACTTACATGGGTGAGCACATACACACATGCATGCAAGAAACAGTACATGCACACATGTGCACATATGCACACACAAACACAAGATAAATTTTGTTTCTTTTTTTTAAATTTGACTGAGTAGTTCTATGTAACTCAGGCTGGCCTGGAACTTAAAATTCTCCTGCCTCCACAATTCCAAGTGCTAGGATTACAGGCCAATACTACCACACCTGGCTTAAAGACAATCTTTGTAAAAGTAGCTACAGAAAAAACAAATTAGCTTCATAAACAGCAGACTAGGTCTTCAAACTGGCATCTGTCGCTTACCTGAAAACCCTTTGCAATCTATTAAAGCTAAAATCGCAACTGTATTTATGCTGATGCCTTCAGCTGTTTCCATTCCCATCCTCATTTACTGTCAGCACATTGTTTTCAGTGCTGTGGACTTCCATATTCCGAGCAGGTTCCCCAGGCAGATCCGTACTCAGCAGGAGGCATTAGGGCACGGTGGAAATAGCTTGGCTCTGCCTCTAGCAAGCTGGGTAACCTTGAGCAAATTAGTTCCCCTTTGAAAAGTCCAGGGATGTTTCTCATCAGTGAAATATATCCATTTTATAGGGTTGATGTGGCAATTATGTGAAAATTGCTTTTACTGCAATATCTATTATGATATAGGTGTTCCAGGAAATGCAGTCAATGTCCTCTTTGTGTTTATTTGGTTTTTCTTTTTTAAAAAGACTTAAGACCAATTTTAGACTTGACAGTAAAACTGAGGGAAAAACAGAGACTTCCAATCCTCTACTCTTCACCCACCCATGTGTAGCCTCCCAGTATCTTCTTTTAAGAAGTAAAAAAATCTCCAGTCAGTTATGATGTCGTGTGTCTGCAATTCCAGCATTCA